GGGAATAATATTTTATTTGTACATTTAAATTTTCTTAGGTAGTTATTAGTAGTATTTTTTATAATTTTTTTTTAAATAAAGCATGAAGTAGTAAAAGAGAAAGGATAAATAAAGTAATTAAAACCTACCATATATATGAAACAAAGTAAATGAAATATTCTTTTGAAATTAAGCTTTGATTCGGCCGAATATTTCCTTTCCTTTCTTTTTCTTGTAACTTCTCTGTTTCTCTTTCCTTTTCCAATTGTTTTGTTTTCATTTTCCTTTTCCTCCCCTTGATCTCTTCCTAATTTTATGCAAAATTCCCAATAATCAGTTTTTTCTTAAAATATTCTCATCATTATCTCCTATAAATTTGAATTGTGCTTCAACGGAAAAAAAAGAAGGAGAAATAGCAAGACAACAATTACATTCACACAAAACTCTATGTTGCAAAAATATATCAAATTGGCCATAGTTTCTGATCTGAGCTTCTCCTCATGAAATCATATTTTAAACCCCTCACCAAAAGCCTTCTGATTCCTCTTTTTTGTGACTTGAAGAGTGAAGAAAGAGTGATTCGTATAGTATTTTCAATCCGCTTCAAGCTATCATGATAATTCATCAATTTTGGAGTAAACAATCTCTATTATGGTATGGTGATGATTCAAGCGGAGGTCAAGATAGTAAGAGTTTTAATGATTCTTTGAAATTACAAATGGCCTTGGATTGTTAATGCCTTGTTCCTTAACTTCACTCATCCTTATATCTCACCCATTTTTGCTAATGCACACTTTACAGGATTTGGATTTAATTTGTGAAAAAGTGAGATGGTGAATGCATATGGTATTCTATTTATATAGGTGTTTAGAATTTAGTGGTGAAGACACATTTTCAAATTCTATAGTTGTAACTGTGCATGCATATATAAAGTTGTAACTGAAAATTAACTCTAAATGGTGAGAATTAATTTCAGAATTGAAACTGTGGGATTTAAAGGAGAGGTAATTGAATAGAAGAAGGGAAAAAAAGAGACAGAATTGTTGAAAGTCTGACCATCCTAATTTAATGCACTTCTTTATTGCCTTCACAAATCTTTATGAATATTTATTTTACATTTATAATTACACATTAAATTCTATTATAAACTCATGAATATGGTGAGTTTCTTATTAAAAATAAGGTGAGAAGCCAAAAAAATCAGAAATTAGAAAAATACTATTGTTAGCCAAAGAGAGATGTCACCTCATCTCTTTCATTCCCACCTTTATATCTATATATAGATTTAAACAACTTTTATTGACTCCTCAAGGTCAATTCAAGTTGGATAAAGTGAAGTAATGTGAAAACGGTCCACCAAGGCTAACTAAATTTAAAACCAATGTGTTTTACTTTTTTGTTTTTTCATTCGGTGTTAGTATCGTTCTTGAGCCGAGGGTCTACTGAAAACAATTTCTCTATACTCATAAGGTAGGAATAAGATATGCGTACACATTACCTTTATCGGATCTCACTTTTGGAATTTCACTAGGTTTATTGTTGTTCGGTGTCAGTATCTGTATGGGTCCAAATTTGACCGACCTCAAGCTTTTGATGAGTGCGACTAACGATCGAGTACTGACGAATCGGCACCCCGAGCGAGATGACCTCAAGGCAAAAATAGAAGTTGTATGACCCTTGTAAGAATGTAAGCCCATTAGGGGACATTAAGAATATTCTGCTGAATATTCCTTATATTGTATTTTTTTACATTTCGGAAGGGTTTTTCTCCCTACTATATAAGGGGAAAAGAAGGACCCTGTAAAGGGTAGTGAAATATTCTGGGAAACTTGTGAATCTTGGATAAAAAGAAAACTTGTTGCTCTCTTCTCTTTACTCATTATCATTCTAGAGATTATTATATTTAGCTACGATTTACCCTCTCATCTTTGATTGATTTGCTCAAATAGGTCTTAACATCTTTTGAGTCAAACAATTTGACATCGTCTGTGGGGATTTCTATAGCTGAAACCATAGTTCTCATCTAGATCCCTGAAGGTGATATTCGCATTTCTTCGAACTCCGTATAAACCAACAATGGCAGGAAAGGAAGCGAGGCTAAAGGCAATCACAGATGTCTCGAATAATCTCCTGAACTCCCTCAACAAAGCCGGCAGAGGAGATAATGAGAACGCAACACCAAGCGCTACACCGGAGTGAGAGATATTGCCTCTACCACACGGAGACCTAACGATCTTACACGAAAGAGGAACCTCAACCTCCGCGGCGGGGAAGCCCCACCAGCAGTCAAATAGACTACTAGAAGAATGGCTAATGAGTGCTTTGAGCAACATGCTCGAGAAGCCCACTCAAGGAGATGTCGAAGACGTGCCACCTACAAAAATCACAGCTGCCATCGATGAACCAGGCACTACACGAGCAGGTAACACCCGTACTATTACTAATGCAGGTGACGATGTGCTCATGGCCATCTTGAAGAAAATGGAAGACATGGAAAATGAGAATAAAACGCTCCGTGACCAAATGAAGGAACATCAGGATAGGGTTGATAAAATACCGGGTGCTCCGAAGCTATTACCAAAATGCGACGTGGGCCGATTCGTCGAACAGCCATACATCGAAAGGGCTGCTCCTCATCCTATTCCAAAGACCTTTAAGATGCCGCCATACTTGAAAATATATGACGGGACCACGGACCACGGACCCGGAGGATCACCTAATCCACTATGTTGCTGCACTAAAGGGCAATGATCTGTCAAAAGAACAGGTATCGTCTACGCTGTTAAAAAAGTTCGGGGAAACTCTGACAGGGGAGCATTGACATGGTACTCCCAGCTACCTGCGTGATCAATATCGACGTTCGAAGAGATGGCAGATAAGTTCGCCACCGCCCATGCAAGAGCGAAGAAGGCCGAAGCTAGGGTCAACGATATCTTCGCCGTCATGCAAACGACGGGCGAGGGACTTCGGGATTTCCTGGCCCGATTCAACAGAGTAAGGATGAGTCTGCCGAACGTGTCAAAAAGGATGGCAGTAGCAGCCTTTCAAAATGGATTAAACAGGAACGGATCAAAGGCGAACAAAAAACTGCTCAGCAAACTTATGAAGTACCCCTACTACATGGTAAGAAATCTACAATGCCTACTGCGCCGAGGTAAGGGCAGATGAAAACGACCTGAACAAGCCACTTCAGCGACTAACATCGGTTCAGACCGAGACAAGGAGAGATCGATGTAATGATGGGCGAAGAGATCAACCACCACATTTCAACCGGGAAAAGCATCAGCCCTGTATTCGTACATCCAACCCGCCCCCTCCACGACACGCAGACGTCGTGCCACGGCACACTACACCCCTACGAAGAGATAGAGGTATGCCTCCACTACTATCTGCTCATAATTTGTGTTTCCCCTTTAGAGATAGTGTACGCACTGGAGAAGCTGGGCACGAAGGTACAGTGGCCGCAAAAAATGAAATCGGACCCAAGCACCAGGAGGTCCAACGTCCTTTGCGAATTCCACCAAGAAAGAGGACATAAGACCGAGTATTGCATAGGTCTGCGGCAAGAAGTAGTTAGGATGTTGAACCAAGGGTACCTGAAAGAACGACTGAGTAATAAAGGAAGAGCCAACTTTGCTCGAGGACGCGACCCATCTCAAGGACCTCTAAAGCCACCATCGCCGGTACGAACCGTACAAATGATCATTGGCGGCGGCGATGATACGGTAATCAACCATATGAAGTTCACCACCACGCACAAACTCAAATGAACAGTCGCCCACGAACGATATAACGACCTCGAAGATAGTATCGTCTTCAATAAGTCAGATACCGACGGTTTGTCTTTCCCTCACTATGATGCTTTGGTTATAACTTTACGCATCACTGACAACGACATAAAAAGAATCATGGTGGATGACAGAAGCGGTGCATGTATTGTTTACCTATGAGTTCTCATGCAAATGAGGCTCGAGGATAAAATAATACCGTGTTACATAACACTAACGAGTTTTAATAAAGCAGTAGAGAGGACATCCGGAAAAATAGTGCTACCTGTCCTAGCATGAGGGGTCACCCTAGAAATAACATTCCACGTCATGAACTAGGAAACAACCTATAACGCCATCATAGAGCGACCATGGATACACGCCATGAGAGCCATCCCCTCAAGCTTCTATCAAGTGATCAAATTTCCCACCCTGTGGGGGATATTCAGCATCCGAGGCTAGCCACGCACCACCTAAAAATGCTACTGGATTTCCCAAGATTGCACACACACCAAACAACTGAAAGGAGCAAGTGTAGAGGCATAGCAATCAGCTGTGTTGGGAACTAAACCCAACCTACAAACAAAGGCCATCAAAGACCCAGATATCGTAAAAGCTTGCAAGGCAACTATAGAGGATCTCGACCCCGTCCAATTGGAGGACACCGACAGTACAAAAAAGGCTTACATATGGCACAACCTATCAGAACCAGATAAGTATCGTGAATTTTTAACTAATAACGCCGATTTATTTGCTTTCTCCCACTCAGATATACCAAGAATCTCAAAGGACATCACCACTCATAGACTGAATGTCCACCCACTCTATCCGTTGATACGACAAATGAGGAGAAAGTTCAATGCCTCAATCAACGAGGCGGTCAGCGAGGAGGTGGATAAATTACTCACCAACTGTTCCATCAGATAATCGAAATACCCGCAATGGGTCGCTAATGTGGTCATGGTCAAAAAGAAGAACGGGAAATGGCAAATGTGTGTTGACTTCACCAATCTAAACAAAGCATGCCCAAAGGACTCCTTCACGTTACCCTATATCGACCAACTAATCGATGCGATAGCGGGGCACGAACTGCTAAGCTTCTTGGACGCTTACTCCGGTTACAACCAAATTCTAATGGCTGAAGAAGATCAAGAAAAGACGACTTTTATCACTCACCAAGGAACGTACTGCTATAAAGTGATGTTGTTCGGACTCAAGAACGCAGGGGCCACGTATTAGAGGTTAGTTACCAAAATGTTCAAAGATCAGCTCGGCAAGACCATGGAGGTTTATATCGATGACATGCTAGTAAAGTCAACAAAGAAGGAGGATCACATCGGCCATCTAAAAGAAGCATTCGAGATACTAAAACAGTACGGGATGAAATTGAATCCTGAGAAGTGCACCTTCGGCGTAACCTCAAGAAAATTCCTTGACTTCCTCATGTCGAAAAGGGGAATCAAAGTCAACCCGGATCAAATCAAAGCCATCGATGCAATACCAGAGGTACTGACCAACAAAAAACAGGTGTAGAAGCTAACAGGATGAATAGCCGCCTTATCAAGGTTCATATCACGATCCTCGGACAAATGCCACAAATTTTTCAATGTGCTGAGAAAAGACCACGGGCTGCAATGGAACGAGGAATGTATCGACACTCTAATAAAACTAAAAGCGTATCTGTCCTCGCCACCATTGCTCGTCAAAGCGGGCCCAGGTGAGTGTCTACTTGCGTATTTAGCAGTTTCCGACGTCGCATTAAGTGCAGTCTTGGTCTGTGAAAATAAAGGTACGCAATCTCCAATTTATTATATCAGCAAAACTTTAATCGATCCCGAGACAAGGTACCCTCACCTTGAAAAGCTAGCTCTGGCATTGGTCGTGGCTTCACGGAAGCTTAGACCATATTTTTAGTGTCACCCCATAAAAGTGGTAACGACCTTCCCCCTGAAGGGTATCCTACACAAACCCGAACTATAGGGTAGACTTGCCAAATGGGCCATAGAATTAAGCGAGCACGACATAACGTACCAACCGCGAACCGCTATTAAGTCGCAGGTGCTCGCCGACTTCGTCGCTGATTTCAGCACAGAGATATTGCCCAAGGTAGAACAAGAAGCACTCTGTGCTTCTACACATACCGACCTTTGGGTCCTCTACACTGATGGTGCCTCTAATTCCTCAGGATCAGGACTGGGACTCGTCCTCGAGGTCCCTATGGGTGAAGTAATTCGCTAGTCCATACGATGCCCCAAAATGACTAACAACGAGGCCGAGTATAAAGCTATGATTGCAGGTTTGAAGTTAGCCCTCAAATACGGCGCCCAACGACTCGTCCTCTACTGTGACTCTCAACTCGTTGTGAATCAAGTCACCGAAACTTTCCAAATCAAATAACAAAGGCTACAAAGATACCAGTTGGAAATCCACAAACTACTGCCAGAATTCGATGAATGTCGCTTCAACCAAGTACCCAGGGTACAGAATATTGAAGCAGATGGCCTCGCCAAACTAGTTGCGGCCACCAGTAATATCAACAAAGAAAACATGGTCGCCCTCCTTCATTCGGCAATAGACCACGCCGAGGTAATTCTATAAACTTAACTTGGGACTGGCGTAACCGCTTCGTAGCCTATTTGCAGGATGGAATGCTCCCACAAGATAAAAAAGAAGCCAAAAAACTCCGGGTACAGGCAGCCCGGTACAACCTAGTAAACGGTGATCTCTACAAAAGAACATTCGGTGGCCCCCAAGCCAAATGTCTTGGACCACATCAAACAAGAAGAGTACTAGAGGAAGTACATGAAGGGCACTGCGGTGCCCATACGGTAAACCGCGCCCTCATTCGATGCCATATCCGCGCTAGCTACTACAGGCCCACCATGAAAAAAGAAGCCGCCGACTATGTCAGGAGATGCGAACAATGTCGAAAGTACGCCCCTATGATACATCAAGCAGAGGAACTCCTTCACTCTGTCACTTCGCCATGGCCATTCATAAAATAGGGAATGGACATAGTCGGCCCCCTCCCAGGAGGACGAGGTAAGGTACATTTCCTTTTGGTTTTAACTGACAATTTCTCTAAATGGGTGGAAGCAGGTGCATACACTCAGATACGCAATCAGGAGGTCATCACCTTCATATGGAAAAACATTATATTTCATTTTGGCATCCCCAAAGAAATCAGCTGCGACAACGGACCTCAGTTCGTCGGAAAAAGAACGACTGAGTTTTTCGAAAAGTGGCGCATCAAGCGAGTACTCTCCACGACATACCACCCTGCCGCCAATGGTCAAGCCTAATCCTCCAATAAGGTAATATTGAACATACTAAAGAAGAAGCTTGAGGAAGCTAAAGGGCTATGGCCTGAGCTATTAATAGAAGTATTATGGGCATATCGCACTACACCAAAAACCAGCACAAGAGAAGCGTCATATTCACTGATTTATGGGACCGACGCAGTTATACCCGTATGGGGTCAGGGAGCCCAGTTTGAAAGGAACATGCAACGACAAAAGCAGGCTACAAGACCTGGACGAAGTTGAAGAACGAAGAGACATGGCCCACATAAGAATGGTAGCCCAGAAGCAGCAAGTAGAAAGATACTACAACAAGAGAGCCAAGGTACGACCGCTCAAAGTCGGAGACTACATCCTCAAGGCTAAGACACAAGCTTCAAAAGACCCTAATGAGGGAAAATTGGGAACAAACTAGGATGGACCATACAAGATCATAGCGGCAGCAAATAAAGGAGCATTCCAGCTAGAAACAATGGAGGGAAAACTACTCTAAAATAACTGGAACATCGCCCATCTCAAGTACTTCCACTTCTAAAAGAAGGCGTCACCTAAGTCTTACTCTTTTTCCCTTACCCGGGTTTTGTCCCAATTAGGTTTTCCCGGGGAGGTTTTTAACGAGGCGGCAAGGGGGACACTTTAGGGATCAACATGTTGTTCATTACCTCAACCCGTTGATGTGACTTCCAGATCGAAGCAATGAAGGGACTACATATAGATAATCAAATCTCCATTATATGTATAGAATCGAATCTCCATTGTATGAATGGAATCAAATCTCCATTGAATTTACGGAACCAAATCTCCATTGTATGTGCAGAACCAGATCTCTATTAGTCGACATGTGACATCTTCCTACGGGACGATCAAATCTCCACAATATAGGTTCGACTTCGTTCAAATTATGACAAGATTCTACTTCGACGACAGTACGAAGCAACATCCCAATGGCCAAGGCCATCGACGACAATATAGGTTCGACTTCGTTAGAACTACAACGGGATTCTACTTCGACGATAGTATGAAGCAACATCCCAATGGCCAAGGCCATCGACAAAAATATAGGTTCGACTTCATTTGAACTACGACGGGATTCTACTTCGACGACAGTACGAAGCAACATCCCAATGGCCAAGGCCATCGACGACAATATAGGTTCGACTATGTTCGAACTACGACGGGATTCTACTTCGACGACAGTACGAAGCAACATCCCAATGGCCAAGGCCATCGACGACAATATAGGTTCGACTNAGGGACTACATATAGATAATCAAATCTCCATTATATGTATAGAATCGAATCTCCATTGTATGAATGGAATCAAATCTCCATTGAATTTACGGAACCAAATCTCCATTGTATGTGCAGAACCAGATCTCTATTAGTCGACATGTGACATCTTCC